ACTCAATTATTTTCCGTTTAAAAAAAAAATCAACAACCTGTTTAGTAAACCGAGTAAGAAAAAATTAAATCATATTTCTATGAATATTTCTAATAATGCAAGGTGCCACACACGTGTACGAATTGAATTAAGCTACGAAAAGTGGTTTGACTTTTTTCATGTTCCTACTTAACTAAACAAACATCAATTCATGAATCATATATCACGATTCTCTCTCTCTCTCTCTCTCTCTCTCTATATATATATATATATATATATATATATATATATATATATATATAATTATATATTCGTATGTGGATGTATTTAGATATATATTTTTAGTTTTTTCTTCATTGTGTTACTACCAAATTAGGTCAACATGTCTACAAACTAAAAATATATTTCTTAAAGAAAATTTGAAATATGTCATCTTTTCCTTTCTACATGATCCTAGGCCTATATAAATACACACCTCTTTATCTTTTCCTCTATCTCTTTTTCAACCTGCATAAATTACGTTTATGTTTATATATTTCTTTGAATCTGGTAAAATATCCATTCACTTGTGTGTAATGGGTTTGGTCTGAAGATTTGTAATCGAATGTTTCGATTCTAATGAAATAAATATCACCATGTTATTTTGAGTCTTCGTTTTCATAATTACAGTGTAACCCGGATATAAGAGATCCGGATATAAGAGAAATCCGGATATAAGAGAGATTTTCTCTGGTCTCAAATTAGAGCCTGTGTTAATGTATATAAAATAGACCAAACCCGGATATAGGAGAAACCCGGATATAAGATACTTCTTCTCCGGTCCCGACAACTCTCTTATATCCGGGTTACACTGTAATTAATATTTGATCTGTTTTTTTTACATAGACCTTTCTCTGGATTTATATCCTCTTTGGAATTATCCATGCGGATTACCAAATATTATCATAGCTTTTCACACACAAAGACACACAAATATATATATATATATATATATATATATATATATATATATATATATATATATGTGTGTGTGTATGAATGTATGTATAAAGATAATATAGTTTTAAGGTGTGCCATATTTATAGAATAAAGTGTTCAATATCAGAGATAGTGCGTATGTAAATATGAATATAAAAGGCGACACACAGACACACACAAACACACACATATATATTAGGTTGGTGCATAAAAATGACGTAATAACGTCAAAAAACGAGATTAATACGTCATTATTTTTGCACCAACCTAATATGTATATATTTAGCTGGCGATTGCGCCTAGCCTGAAACAGCCTGCCACCTTTGAGTGTTGACTTCAATGTTCAATTTTATATATATATATATATATATATATATATATATATATATATATATATAAATATATATATATAACTTCCGAGCGGACGGCGAAATCGTCTCATCTTTACTCTTATAGCATCCTTCTGGAAGTGTCTTCTCACGATAACTGATTCCCAAACGCAATAGCAAGAGGCGCAGGGTTGGCCATTGGCGATTTGAGAACGACAATACAGGACCAAACAGTGTGGAAAACGATTGTTTTGAATGGATAAGGCGCATTTTAATTTAATGTCGGACTTCATTTCAACTCAGAAGTAAGGGTTAGGGTTATATATTATCAAACTTGGACATGTTGTATTTGAAAAAGACGACCAATTTTAATTTATTACATAGTGTCTATTGTCTGTTCACATTCGAGTTTGTAAAATCCTAATAAAGAAAATAAGTTCTCCTTTTTGGGATTGAAGCTGAATCCACCTTCGTAATTGAAGTAACAGTTTTCTTTCAAGAAGTCCCAACGTTTTTTTTTTTTTGATTTTAAAAAATGGTTAAGCTTTTCTGTAGTGTACATTCAGATTCTCCATAAACATATCAAAATAGTCCAGCGACCTTTCTACACGCCCCCGCCCCAATATATAAACCAGCTAACATGCTCGGGAGATTGCGTTTGCGTTTGTAACTGTGCGCATGCGCGTGTACACGAGCGTGAAAGAGCTGCAAGAATGTGCAACCGCAGCTTCCAATTACGCATCTTATACAACGTGAACTTTTTACATAACGTCAAAAACTTCATCTGTCTTGACCATCGAAGTTGGTGACAGATAATCGAACATGGAGATTTTGGTGTTTTTTTTTTTTTTTTTTTTTTTTCTTTTTTTCTTTTTTTTTTTTTTTTGCCACTGTCCTTTTACTCGATTTTCTGTCCGATCATCCTGTTTGAACATAATCGAATTATCAGCAACTTCCTTTGAATCTCCTTCAAACACATTCCCTCCTCCTCTTCTTCTTCTTCTTCTTCTTCTTCTTCTTCTTCTTCCAACTTCTTTCCTCCTTCTTCTTCTTCTTCTTCTTCCAACTTCTTTCCTCCTTCTTCTTCTTCTTCTTCCAACTTCTTTCTTCCTCCTTCTTCTTCTTCTTCTTCTAACTTCTTTCTTCCTCCTTCTTCTTCTTCTTCTTCTTCTTCTTCTTCCAACTTCTTTCTTCTTCTTCTTCTTCTTCTTCTTCTTCTTCCAACTTCTTTCTTCCTCCTCCTTCTTCTTCTTCTTCTTCCAACTTCTTTCTTCCTTCTTCTTCTTCTTCCAACTTCTTTCTTCCTCCTTCTTCTTCTTCTTCTTCTTCCAACTTCTTTCCTCCTTCTTCTTCTTCTTCCAACTTCTTTCTTCCTCCTCCTTCTTCTTCTTCTTCTTCTTCTTCCTTCTTCTTTTCTTCCTTTCTTCCTCCTTCTTCTTCTTCTTCCAACTTCTTTCCTCCTTCTTCTTCTTCTTCTTCTTCTTCCAACTTCTTTCCTCCTCCTTCTTCTTCTTCTTCTTCTTCCAACTTCTTTCCTCCTCCTTCTTCTTCTTCTTCTTCTTCCAACTTCTTTCCTCCTTCTTCTTCTTCTTCTTCCAACTTCTTTCCTCCTCCTTCTTCTTCTAACTTCTTTCCTCCTCCTCCTTCTTCTTCTTCTTCTGCTATCAACTTTCTTGTTCCTTTTCCTTTTGCAATACTCCCCCTTCTTTTCCCTCCTCCTCTTTTTTCTCTCCTCCTCCTTCTTCCCTCCTCCTACTTCTTCACCATCCAACTTTTCTTCTTGCTTCCTCCTCCTCCTTGCCCCCGCCTCAATTTTTTCGCCTCCTCCTCCTTGTTCTCCCATCCTTCTCTCGCTCCTTCTTCTTATTCCCTCCTCCTCTTCCTATTCTCCTCTACGTTCTTTCCTCCTCATGTTCCTCATCCTTTTTCTTCTTTTTCTTTCACTGTTGCCACCTAAATGGCATAATCATCATCTTTTTCTTCTTTGCCATTTCCTTCCGCCTGAGCATACGTGCCTTAGAGGGGTCGGCCAAGCAATTTCCAATGGCACGCAGCCCCAAATGACATCACGAAGTCCGAACCAATAACGACTACAGCGCAAAGAAGATATTTAGCTGTTTCAATTTTAATATATACTAAATTATATATATATATATATATATATATACTATATATTACTATATAAAATATATTGTAGAACGAGTATATTGACCTTGACTTGTAAAAAATACGTATGCTGTTGGAACACTAAATGATTTTAAAACCCTAATTCGGCACATATTAAGCCAAACGTTGCCAACTCCTGCTTTAGAGTACCTCCGATAAAGGGTGTCATCAAAATTACCCCTATATGCCTCCTCTCCACCTGGTCAGTGTGTTCGGGGTTCAAAGGAATAAAGAAAAAATAAATATTTTGTCATCCAGATGCCGGCACATCGAGGCAAAATGTTCCAAACTTTTTGTTTTGAATGGATTATACCATTAAAAAGATTATCTCTTTAAATGTTTTAAAACTGGCCAGTTAGATGGCAGTAGACATTTATTTCAGCTATTCATGGTCGAACGGTTATTTACAAAACAGGAATAAACAAATAAAAAATATTAAAAAAAAATAAATAAATAAAAAGCACATCCAAGAAGAGTGCCAGGATTCAGTCATAGAAGAAGTCAGAAGCCCATCTCCTTGTTCAAATGACTTCTTTTGGTAAGTTAGCGTCGCTTAAAAAAAAAAGAATTCTCTTTCATAGTTATAAGTCTAAATCTACCCTTGGTCGCTGGGTTGGGAGAGCAAACAGATAAAGAATGAAAACAATATGTAGTTATCCAGTTGCAGGCAAATCGAGGAAAAAAATACTCCATTTTTTAAATTTTTTTTTTTCTTTTTCTTTTAGGGCTGATCAAAAAGTATTAGGACTAGTGCTAAAAAACACATATCGTTTCGGTCTTTAATCTCCTTCGAAGAAGATCCCTTCCGAAGGTACACATTTTATCGTTGTTTTTATTGATAGAAGCATTTCTGGAACTCCTAGCGAATATCTGCCTCGTTTGATTCCCTTTAGATTGCCACAATATCTTGAAATCTTTTCAAGGCGAATCTGTTTTTTGGAAAGAGTAAAAAGACGCAAGGGGCGAGATCTTGTGAATATAGTGGTTCTCGTGTCGGGGGCGAAGGATGTTGTACTTGGTCAAAAACTGCTGGACAAGCCATGGCCACAAATAAAACCTTTGGGTGCGATGGGTCGACCACACTCTGGTGTAAGCAAGGGAAGTGACCGAGAAAGATATAACTTAGTGTGTACACGCGACAAATATTAGAGACAATCTGTGCCAAATGGCTTTACTCTGCGACCTTTAGTTCCGTTTTCATAGCAACAGTCGCAATACATTTTGATCAGACCTCGAACATGGAAAAAACTTCTCTCTCTAAAACATCCGACAGCTACCAAAAATGACCAGTTATAAGATTGATTGATTCATTTTTTACGACTTGTCAACCCTTTGCAGATTATTTAAACCGAAAAAAATTTTTTTTAATTGTAAGAATATTTTTTTGTTTTACTAATTAATCCATAGCTGGGGGGAGAAGAGTTGATACATACTTTTCCCAAGGATATTTGTGTGTAAGTGAATATAACGAACTCATCGGGAATTGGAACTCGACTCCGGAATTAACAATTCAGAGCCATTATTCATTACACCAGCTATACATCTAAGCTTACAGCACCTGATATTCCTAAGCGGTCACCCTTCTAGGTACGGACCAGGCACGGTGTTGCTTAACTTCAGGGATCGTACGCGAACAGGTGTTTCAATATGATGTGGCCGTAAGGTAACCCATTCTTACATTCTTATACCACCTGGTATTACAAAACGGTTACCCATCTAGATACTGACAAAACTCGACATTGCTTAACTTCGGTGATCGTATTAAAAGCGGTGATTTAATGTGATGTGGCCGTAAGCCATCTTACCCGTACATTCATATTTATAGCACCTGGTATTCTTAAGTGGTCGCCCATCTAGGTATTGACCGGGCTCGGCCTTGCTTTTACTTCGGTAGTCATACGGGAACCGATATTTCAACGTCATATGGCCGTAATCCCAGTTAGAAGAAATAACGAATTAAACGTCGTTGAGTCGGCGCAAACGTATTTCAAATATAGGACAATAACTGGAACAAAGTATCATAAACTATATAAAATTAATTAATAAAGAAATAAATACATTTACATCAAATAAATAGATCATTTTTAAAATACACCTAGATGAAAAGAATCACCCCAGGGATGAAGAAACGATTGGAGGCAAGAGAAATCTGGTTTTGCAGAAAGATACTAACGTAAAGAATAAGTAACGGGGACGTCTGTTTTTATTTTTTTAAAAGCATTTCACCCCAAGCAAAGCGGGAGTGTCACTAGCATGCAAGGGGTTACTGAGGATTGAGAAAAAGAGTAAAGAGGCGATTTTGAGGAAAGGATTAAGAGAAAGATGGAGAACAAGATCAAGGCATCTATTAACATTACATTTGAATATTTAAAGATTATAGCTATCAGAGAAGCAAGTAAGGAGAATGGAATTCCAGAGATGGAAAGTGCGAGATACGAATCTGTTGGAGTAGAAAAGACGGTTACATTTAACTGTTTCGACAGTGAAAGGGTGGGAGCAAATAGCAACCTAACCTAGTAGTACGCTTAAATTCAGGCAGTTTGGAAACCAGCGAAAGTAGCTCATCAGAGCACTTGCCGTGAAAATAATTTTAGAAGACAGAGAGGGCGTTATAGTGGAACACCCCTATTCTATAGTTAATAGACTCTCCCACCTATAATAAGCAGGAGTCGCTCAGTGGGTTCGGTCAGTTAGTTGACTGGCTGATCGGTTGAACTCTCTACCTTCGGGCGGGGAGGAACCCGAACGAGGCTACGCCGAAGGGCGGATTCTCTTTCGGGGAGGTAAACCGACCCTGAACCCGTTTATACGGGTTCAATGGGCATATTTTTGGCCGATCCCACGGGCTCTGAGATCCCACGGGCTCGGAGATCCCACGGGCTCGGAGATCCCACGTTAAAAAGGCCTTGTGCCACATGACGCCCTCGTGTGTGAAGGTGACTGAATATCGTCGGTCAGTCAGTCTATGCCGGACGACCGTTAGTCGGATACTAAAGTATCAGCGAGCACAACTAGATTTCTCTGCGTCATTACCTATTATATCAAGTTCCTAACATTTTGTACGTCGAACCTATTTTAGGACCGACTTAGTACAAATACAAGCCTCCACTGTGAAACCACTCCATAACACAGGGAAAAAAAGAAAATGGATGCAGTTCATCGTCCTGGGTGGAACGATGAACTGAATCCGCGTCCTGGTTGGGAAGATAAACTACATCCGCGTCCTGGGTGAGACGATGAACTGCATCCAGCGGCGGCGCCACTGATCGAGAGGTTTTGAGGAGGGTGGAACCTCCTCTTGATTGCTGGCGTTCCCGGGTCCTCCCTTCTCCAGGTGGTTGGAATGTCGAACTGAACTCTTTCTTATACTCAGAATCAGACTGAAGCACCTGAAATTTCTTTTATACATAATCAAGAAGAAGGGCTTGGAAAGCTATATTGAGGGTAGGAAACTATAGAGAAGGCAAGAGGCAAGATACCGAACGAGCTTACTCGAGTGGATCGCGCAACGGGTGCCTTAGCAAATGGAGAAAAAATGCTACTAAGGTACGCAAGGGATAGGAAGTGGAGATCACACAATTTATGAAGGGAATGGGCACATAGGAGAAGAAACACACCTATTCTATAGTTAATAGACTCTCCCACTTAATATAAGTAGGAGTAGTAAGAGAAACGAGGGTGAATCGATGCCGGAGGACCGGCTGAACGGTTGAACTCTCTGCCTTTGGGCGAGGAGGAACCCGAACGAGGCTACGCCGAAGGGCGGAGTCTCGGTCGGGGAGGTAAACCGACCCTGAACCAGTTTATACGGGTTCAATGGGCATATTTTTGGACGAGCCCACGTTAAAACGGCCTTGTGCCACATGATGCCCTCGTGGTGACTAAATACTGTTCATAGATAGGTTTTTCCTATTCAGTAACTATCGTCGCACATTCCAGTATTGATACGGGTTTAATTCCTAACATTTTCCGTCCTAGGTATGACGATAAACTACATCCGCGTCCAGGGTATGACAACGAACTGCATCCGCATCCTGGGTGGGACGATGAACTACATCCGCGTCCTGGGTGAGACGATGAACTGCATCCAGCGGCGGCGCCACTGATCGAGTGGTTTTGAGAAGCGTGGAACCGCCTCTTGATTGCTGGTGTCCCCGGGTCCTTCTTGACCCGGGGTGGTGGCACCGGTTGGGGTCCCAGCTATAGGCAAAATGTTGGCCCCCCAAACTGAGGTCAACGCACTATGAAGGTGTAAAAATAGGTTTTGATGCCAGCAATATATTTTTTCAAGAATGTTACCGGCAATGAATTTTTGAGGTGTATGAATTATTGCCAGCAATGCGTTTTTGAAGAAAAAGTGTTACCAGCAATACATTTTTGAAGAATAAAATGTTTCCAGCAATACATTTTTGAAGAAAAATATTACCAGAAATACATTTTTGGGAAAAATATTAACAGCAATAAATTTTTGAAAAAATATTATCAGCAATAAAAATCTTGTCGGAATTAAATAACCCACTGAGGTTGATATGCCATAAAACAAAACTAAACCAAACCAATCCTAACCTTTTATTTGAAGCAGTGGGGAACGCCAACATGTTTATGTCTTTATTTTCTCTTCAAGTTACATGTACTTTAGTTGTTCATGTTGTTATTAAGTGATTTAGATTCTGTTATTTCGTACAGTCGTTTGTGAATCTGTAGTGCCAGTCCACAATGTTCAATGAGCCACAGTTTTCACTCGCTATTTTAACCATTGATCTTAGAAAGCGTCTGTATACAGCTGGCTGTTTATATATTTCTGAACTGGTTTGGCGCTATTGATTCACAGGCTTTATTCGCTCAATGCCATTTTTAACCATTGATCTTAGAAAGCGTCTGTATAAAGCTAGCAGTTTACAGATTTCTGAACCCGTTTCGCGCCAGAGATGACAGCCATACGAACGTCTCGATCTGACCGAAAAATTTAAGAACGTAATATGAGTTTTCCGGAGGTTTTTGTAACAATTTATGCTGTTGGTCAAAACTATATTTAGCGCAGTCTGTACTATGTTCAATTCCTTTTTCTTCTATCTCAAATTTAAAAGAAGTGGTTATAGAGAGGGTATTGACTCCAGATTTCTTCCATGTTCCCTTGGCCTAGCTTTGTCGCTCCTTCTTTCCGTTGTCTTGATTATATTGTGTCACTTTTATCTACTTGTGGAAGTTATTATTATTTCCTTTGATTTCTGGTGTATACACCTTTCCTTCCGGGTCCCAACAATAAACCTAATTTCAAAGATGGCTTTATGCCACACAGACTGATTGGAAAATGTTCCGATATATTCACTGAAAGGATTCTTGCTAGTCGACGCATTAAAAAAGATGCAAAAACATTGTACTCACAATTACTGCTCACACATTATTAAGAGCTTTATCTATGTCATATCAATATATTTATATCCACCTATTACGTATATAGCCCTCACCTCATTCAGTAACCTTCTAACTTGTGTGACTTTTGATTGTTGAGCGAATTGGGAGAAAGGATGAAGTTTTAAGAAAAAATGGTAAAAGAAGGAAAATTATACTTAGTATCAGGAAGAGGCATGAGATTTCTAGAGTGTATAAGGATAAAAATGGACATAGTAAATCTGATACTCACAGGACAGGTTATAAGCAAAAAGGAAAATCAGGCATAACATACTTGGTGAAATTGAATGAATGGATTTCGGAACAAGGTCCACGGCAAGCTTGAATAAATGGATGTCGGAACAAGGTCCAAGACGAGCTTGAATAAATGGATGTCGGAACAAGGTCCAAGATGAGCGTGAATAAATGGATGTCGGTACAAGGTCCAAGGGGAGATTGAATAAATGGATGTCGGAACAATGTCCAAGGCGAGCTTGAATAAATGGATGTCGGAACAAGGTCCAAGGCGAGCTTGAATAAATGGATGTCGGTACAAGGTCCAAGGCGAGCTTGAATAAATGAATGTCGGAACAAGGTCCAAGGCGAGCTTGAATTAATGGATTTCAGAACAACGTCCAAGACGAGCTTGAACATATGGATGTCGGAACAAGGTCCAAGGCGAGCTTGAATAAATTGATGTTGGAACAAGGTCTTGGAGAAATAACAAAAAGATTAAAATTATTAAGAGCTACGAAGAACAAGAAAATGTGGAGGATCATGATCTCGTGTAGAAGAAAATTAGGTGAACTTTAGTTTAAAAGGGAAATAACGTCGTAAGTTAAACTTCTCGGCAGATATGGCGGTGGGGGGATTTGAACTCGCGCAGACGAATCCATTTCCCGCGTCGATAACCGCAAAGTTTTACGCACGTCCTGCCACAACAGCAAAAAGGTAAAAAAATATCCAACTTACACTCATAAAAAAAAAGAAAAAGAAATTATCTTAAGCAGTCGTTGTTCTTATTCCTGGTAAGATTCCAAATTAGCCGTAGGGTGTGGCTATCCCAAAATAGATTCGACATAGCAATTTCAGGTTCTTCTTTCAAACTACTGGTTTAATTTCTTGCTGTTGCCTTGGGCTAATGTCAGATCTCGAAGACAGTGCGGCTTTTCACACACTAATGAATTCTTTTAAACCCACAGAGAGAAAGCAGTATTCTTCCTTTACCAATCTTCCAGGCAATAATGCAACACAGACGTCTTCGACTACTT